GGGGAGAGAGGGGGAGAGAGGAGAGAGGGGGAGAGAGGAGAGAGAGAAGTACAGTATCATGGATCTGGTATACTGCAATTGTTCTTTTTTTTCCCTCGTGTGAATATTCAGCTGGGGACACTTAATTGAAACAACTGATCTCACTCAAAAAGTGAGTTCTGAATGTTTATGACACTGCCGATAATTTGTCCAGGTTGAGAAACCATGAATATTGCGGGGGGAAACAGGAGTGATAAGATTATTTCATCATTATACCTGCTACAGAAGAAAGAAAATGAAAGTAAATCACGAAAAGAATATTTGTAAAACACGAATAACAAATCGATAATATCAATTTATAATTTTTACACAAACATTTAGCAGTTCAATATCTTCTCATACATGCAGTCAAATATATCCAACAACTTTAAAATAATTAGCAGATGATGTTAAATAGAAACCCAATCCATGTGCCAATACAAAATTTTTCTGACTGAAAACAGACTTCGTATAATAGACACCTGGACAAACTACAATAAAATCTGAATGAACTGGAATTGATCAGAACAAAAAATAATTCTGTTTTAAGGAGATTTCCGTTTTATGCAAAGTTGTCCATTTTCATAACACTCGCTATATTGACATTTTTGTCCTAAAACTAGCAAATTACATGACTTTATTATAATTACAAAAATTATTTGACACATAATAGCGTTATGGAAGAAATCACCAAGAAGTGAATATTAAATACATTTCTAACAATTATAAGGAAAAACTTCACAAATTGTGCACTAAAATAATATTTTTTCTAACATTCATTTACAATTTTTGCTATTTGGTTTTCCAACTTACTGACACTTTCAATTAGGTTTTCTGAAGTTGAAAAATGTTAATATTTAGAGTTTTACATTTTTTCCCAACCATTGTTAAACTGGTTATGAAACTCATAAATATACACCACCTCACTGCCTAATGGCTGCACCCGGACTGCTTGTCAACTCTTTCAATGCACAATACATCTCAACTCAGAGTACTATCTTTCTGATACCCTCGGATGGCCTTGACCAATGTGTGTCTGGCCGAAAAGCGACTATTGTCAACGCGGGGCCAGTAAATGCATGAATACAAGCCGTGCCCATGCATCTTCCCATGCTCATAGAGCTGGGAGAGAGGGCATTCCTTTCGGACTTATGCCTTGAAAGACAAGCGACCCCAAGGTCAAATTCTACACTGACAACTGAAGCTTCTCGACGCAGCAGATTTCAAGCAGCAGGTTTACTAGCCCAACAAGCAATATCAATTCTAAAGCCAGCCCTGAAAGTTAACATTTTTTTAATTCTTGGACACCTTGGCAAAACTGCAGGTGAAGAATGCATTTATATAGCTGTGTAGCAGCGGAGTAGTGAAAACTCGCTCTAAAATGCAGACAACCAGCAACACTAGACATTTTCTCTAAATTAAAGCTCTTTTTATAATTTGTAGATTAGAACACACCTAGAATATAGGGTGATTCTGACATTATCAAAACATAAACAGTAAGGATTCTGAGTGATGGTCACATACAAACATCATGCAAAATACATAGCTCATCACATCCTGGTTAACACAGTTCGGTACAAAATTTAATTTTAAATGTATAAAAAAAAGGGCATTTTATGTGGTGAACTTTAGAGAGTTTAATGGAGGGAGAAATATCTGTGATTTGAAAAAGTAAATTATGGTAATGTAGAAAACAAGGTTATACTCTACATGGGTTTAGATTGATTTCTTGTGTCTGGGGTAGCTAGGAGTTTAGCCCTACACTCATTTTACCTGTCATCTCTCTATGCTTTAAAAGATATTTTATCAGATTTTTTAAAATTTTTATATTCCTAATAGTAGACTCGAAACACAACTAAAAATATTATACAACAGTAAAATATGGTCTTATTAGTCTGTTTTCACTGAAAAACACGGAGCAGTTTTTAAGAAAATATTGTTTGAGCATCTCCGAAAATGTGCAATTTTTAGAACATTTTCACAGAAAACTTTTGAGCTTTTGATCGATCTTATGTTTAGCGATTCCAGATACAACTGCTGAAGTCATTAGTCCTGTAAATGTAATGCCGGTTTTTATTGCAGGAGATGGTGGTGATCTACCCCTACAAGATGACAAAACTGGTGCTAGAATATACTATTTAGAATGGTTGTCCCTATAGTTTCAATGCTTTTGGTGAAGGCTCTCCGAACTATTGGCTGCCATGATTTTTGAAGTCAAATGCTTCGGTTTTTATAACATGGAGCGTCAGGGCCTGTCTTCACGATGGAATATCTCACAGCATTTCACGACTTTCTCGGCGTGCCGCAAGATGTCACATGATCGTGACCATATCAAGCCCCGCATGATACGGTCACGACATTAGCAGCATGACCAATAAAGACTGGAAATGTCTGACATAATGTCACTGTGAAGATGGACCTTGAGGCACAGCTTTTTAAAAATTGTACTCTAACCTATGTTAATCGGCAGGCCTTTCAAGTATAGGAATTTGTGCAATAAAAGTGAGAACCAGTAAAAAAGTTTTTCTTCAAGATTCTTTATCAGAAAATTAGGGTGCGGGTAATATTCGAGAATACATGGCTATTTAAACAAATTATTGCAACAAACCAACAAGATATATTATTTAAAAAATTACAATTGTTTAATTTTTGAAATACTAAAGGAAAACATTAAGTGGTTTGATGTCATGTTATTCAGTGCACTTAAGACTATCAAGAAAACATTTGGAGCTATTTTAAAAAGATGGCATTTTAGTGTTTCTGAAAATGTGTGTTTGAGTTCATTGTTCTAGAAAAGGTTTTAGTTTTCAAAAAAGTTCATGATACATTATACAATCTCTTCTCTTGAAACTCTTGTACTCGCAAATGCAATAACAAACACATTTTGATGGTAATGTAAACAAATTTCAGTTGTGTAGTTTTTGAAAAAGCAAAATAGTACATTCAGTAAAACTCCTCTTTTACTCTTTTCAGGGGACCGATGAAAAAAAGTGTAAAATGCAGGAAAGTGTAAAATACAGGAAAGTTGAAAAACAATAGACTATGCGAGTACTTTCATTATTTACTGCAACGGTTACTCTGTTTTCACTTTCTCGCCTTTCATAACAAGAGAAAGTAAAAGCATGTGCTGGAACCAGTGATTTTTTGTCAGAAAATCTCCTACTGACGTGACCTGGTAATGAAAATGAGGATAACTCATTTTCCTATAATTAGTAAATTTCTTCCTCTAACACGTGGTGTGGCCTTAATCCCTGTTTTACATATCCTTGAAACCGCAAAATCGATTGACGGCTGAAAACTTCTCTTTGCCCGTCTGTGGTCGACATGAGCGCCCGAACAAAGGCAAGGCTTTTGCGAGTTTGTTACATACATATGTAGTAATTTACTACAAATTGGAACAGGATTTATCCACTTTTTCTGTATCAGTATGAGTTTTTCTATTGAAAAATCACAGTTTGTTGCCACAGCATTGCATAACTTTCTCAGTACTAGGTATAAAATGAACGTATACGAGAAAGTAAAAAAATAAAATAAAATAAAATAAAATAAAATTTTAAAAAAGACGTAAAAGACAGAAAGCACTCTTCATATCATGTTGTAAATTGCAGCACCAGAATGTATTGTAAATATAGGTTTTTCAACGGGACCAACAAAAAATTACGTAAAACGCAGGAAAATGTAAAATACAGGAACGTAAAAATGGGGTTTTACTGTATATCACTATTCTTACAAAAATTTGGAGTCTCTTTGTGAGAAAATCTTGTTTTTAATATGTATTAATATTGGCAGTTTTCACTCAAAATTGGGTGAATAAAACTTAAATTTTCAAAAAATGTACATAATGTTAATGATTAACCTATTGTCAAGAACAAATTGTAAAATAAATTCTTTATTTGCAATATAGTAGATTTTGAAAAACTCAAAACTATTTTGAACTTTTGTAAATTTTTGGAATTTCAGAGTTAACAATAAAAATCGGACCTATGCCGCCTTTATAAGGGTCTTTCTCTCTATTCTTGCAAGAAATTTAAAGATAAAATTTTGAATATATCCCATCCCAGGGGCTTAAATGTTAAGTACCCCCAAAATTTGAAGAAAGTTCAAAATTGGAAGGGTTCGAGTCTAGCTCGATTGACTATGGAATATTCAATTTGGAAAAATCCTGCAAATAGTTTAGGCAGTAGAGGTGTTCAGATGGACAGGCAGACGGATGGATGTTATAAAACAAAAACTAGTTTTTCAGTATCAGGGGCCTCCAAACCGTGCATTTCCACCGTAATCTCAAAATCCCACACCATTACATAACTTTCCATATATACATAAAAAGTAACATAAGTAAAAACAGTAGCCATGTAGTTCATGCATTTTGAACCTTTCACTGCTATGAGCATACATGAACATTCATCAGGATTTGTCCAGTGAGTACCTGCAAGTTTGGCAACAGAAGAACTTTGAACGCTACAAATGTACAGGCATGGCAGATGTTAACGATTAGGGAGCATACATTCATTCTACAAGAACACTTTCTTCAATTTGGACAAGCTATCGTGACTTCCAAAGATTTTGAGCAAATGAAAATAGGATGATGCCAGTGTCATTTTTCTTAGTTCTAAAACTAGCCTGGGCTTGCAAGGAAGTTTATTTTGCCAAGAGCAGGGAGGGCAGTACTGGAAGCCAATCCCTTGGGAGGCTGATGGTCCAGCAGGATGGGTAGCAGTTTGTAGCACACAACAGTGAAAGGGTTAAAAACTCCCACAACGGACAGTACCACTGAGTAAGGTCCTTTAAACCACTCCTTAAAATCAACAATATGCTCTTACCACCAGCAGCAGGTCTATGTCCATAGTCCACAACGGTTGCTGGCTCCAACTTCTCCCATTCAGGGGCCCTATCCCAGGGGCCTCTGGGGCCTCCAAAGCGATCATCCCCTCTGCCACTGCCGCCGCCACCGGCACCGCTGCTGACGCCACCAGCACTCCCGCTAGTCCAAGGGCGATTTTCACCACCCTTTGGGCCCATCCATCCCTTTGGAGGTGGGGGCTCAGTGAAGCGGCGTGGAGGTCCATCATCCATCCACCTACATGCCAGCAAGCCAAGAAATAATGATCACAATTATTTAATTGAAAATTCTTTCTTTCATTTTTGTAGTATAACACATTACTACATAGCAAGGAAGTTACTGTATTTGAATTATGTATTTACCTTACAGCCAAATGATTAATTTTAAATAAAATAACAATATTGCACATGTAGTGGCCTGGAACAAATTTCCCTAGCTTTTGTCAGTTTTCTAGGGTATTTAAAAAAATTTCCTAATAAGATTTGTAATTTCAGACAAAAAGAAAATATTAAAAGTAATCTTACATTAATCACTTCATATTTTTCTGTAACAAATTGACAATATTTCATCAAATAAGCAAATATAATGCTGCACTGACTTCTATAAGGAATAATATCTAGTTTTAGAACCCTCTCAATAATTTCTCTGACTTTCAATAATTCTACAAATTCCCTGAGATTACTTTGAATTTTCCAGATCAATGAAATTTCCATATTTTGCCCAGTTTTTCCATGTTTTCCAGAAAGTGGCCACCCTGAGCATTTCGAGGAGCCCTAACATACACACACATACTCATCACGTATACATCATCTTTTTAAAAAAAATTCTTACTTGAATGTTCAAAACACTATTTCATTCCAATAATGTCCTTTCTCCCAACCTATATTACTGCATTATAGAATTGCTTAATCATGAATGCATAGGAACCAAAACCATGTGACCAATTTCACCAAATAAGAGGAGATGAATTGAGTTTCTCTGCTTGAAACTAGAATATCACAGACTAATGTGCACTATATTGTTCTCACCTGTCTCTGAAAGAATCTTCTTTCTCAGGCTTGCGATCCCAGGGCCTCGATCCTTCAGACATGGGGCCATCTCCCAACAATGATGGTGGTGCATCCATGTTCATTCCAGGCTCATCTCTGAAGCGCCCACGACCTCCACCCGGCCCAGCCCCTCCTCTACCACCCCCACGGTCTCCTTGCCAAGTACCAAATCCACGTCCCCTACCTCTTCCACCCCTCCCTTCAAATTCTCCTCTATAGTCTCTGTCTTCTCTTGGACCTCGCCCTTCAAAATCTCGACCAGAGCCGCCCTGCTCACCTGGGGTAGCAAAGCGGTCCTTCGCTCCTCCACCAAAGAAGCCATCTCTTGGAGGGCCATCAAAATTGTCTCTTGAGCCAGGAAAGCCTTCACGGTCACGGAAGTCACGAGAGAAATTGTCTCTGTTGTCCCGATCTCCAGGAAAATTCTCACGGCCTGGTCCGTCTCTGTTCCAGCCCCCTTTTTCATTGTCTTTCCAACTTCCCGGAGGGCCACCAAAAGGGGGCCCACCTGGTCCTCCAGGACCACCCGGCACCCTAGGACCACCTGGACCAGTTTGAGCTCCTGGACCACCAGGCCCTCCGGGACCACTGGGTCCCCCAGGACCACTGGGTCCTCCAGGACCACTAGGCCCTCCAGGGCCGCTCGGTCCCCCGGGACCACTGGGTCCCCCTGGACCACTGGGTCCCCCTGGACCACTTGGTGCCCCAGGACCACTTGGTCCTCCAGAACCCCCTGGTCCCCCTACACCACTTGGACCACTAGATCCACCAGGCCCCTGGTTATTCAGACCAAATCCTCCACTACCTCCTGCTTTATTACCAAACAGCGGTGGAGGTTTATTTCCAAAATTCTGGTTTCCAGATGGTGGTCCAGGCGGCGTGCCGAATGCTTGAGGGTTCAGATTTGTAGGAAACCCACCCACACCACCACTTCCACCAAAGGCTTGTGGGTTCAGCTGATTTGGGCCGAAGGGACCAGGGCCACCAGCAGGCCCTCGATTGTTGAAGTTTTGATTTCCACCTTGGCCCCCAGGACCGTGCATCCCCAGTGGATTTCCTCCAAACGGCCCTGGCTGCGTGTTCATGCCCTTTTCAGGACTAAATTGGGATTGCTGACTCCCAAAGGGCTGGTTACCACCAAAGCCACCTTGCTGATTTCCGTGTGGTCCTTGATTGCCAAAATTCCCACGGCCACCAGGGCCAAAACCACCTTGTTGGTTTCCAAGTCCAAAGTTTTGATTGCCTGAACCAAAATTGGAATTTCCAGGTCTGAAGTTTTGGTTATTTGGAGGAGGTCCATTGTACATAGAGCCTCCACCAAAAGGTGGAGCGTTGCCCCCATAACCTGGCGGTGGACCTTGTGGCTGCCCAAACCCAGGAGGTGGGCCAGAGAAATTAGGCTGATTTTGGTAGTTCCCCTGCGGTCCACTTCCAGGAAACCCAAGCAACCCAGGCGCTGCGTTAGGCCCTTGTGAGGCACCAGGGCCTCTGAACCCAGGAAGCCCAGAGTTTTGCCCCGAACCAAACCCTCCACCGGGGCCCCCATACCCAGGACCATGCTGAGGAGCTGGACCAAGCAAACCTTGGGAATTCGGGCCGTTCCCTTGACTGGAAGTGAATGGTGTCTTGTTCTTTTCCGACATCCCACTATCCTGACCAACTGACTTTTCAGCCTCTTGGTTGCCTGATCCAGAAGAATCCAAACTTGGCGGTACAGGCCCAATAAATCCAGACCTGTGGGTTTCCCTGTCATCCTTGTCACCTCCAAGTGACTTCTTCTCTTCATGAGTTTCTTCCTTTCCTTCTTTCCGTTCATTGCTATTTTCAACCCCGACTTTACCCTCAGATATTAAGTCCAAACCTGGAATACCTCCACCACCAACTGTCTTGCTAGAAATGAATTCCTTAGGTTCGTCCTCTTTTTGCGATGCATCTTTCGACTTGTCTGTTGCATCTGATTTTCCCAAGAAGGGAAGAGACCCAGACTGTTGAGAGTCCTTGAAACTGGCTTTATTTGAACTGTCAAAACTCCTATTAGCCTTCTCGCTATCATCTCCTGAAGCCGGGGCCGTAAAGCCACCACCGACTGCAGCAAAGTTAAATCCACTGTTATCCTGCAACTTTTCTCCTTTCATCATGGCTTCTTCTGATGCTCGAGATACATCACCACCAGAGAAGTATCCACTAGCACTACTTGGGGTGCCAGCCCCACCTCGTCGCCCAGCAGCAGTGCTCCCACGAACAGGAGTGCTGTCAGCAGAGCCCGTCTTGCTAGTTTCCAGCCCAGGTAGAGGACTTGCTCCGGATATTTGTGAATCCTGGAAGGTGGAGAACAAAAATTATAAAGAGAAAATAAACAAAGTGCATTGCACTATTAGCTTGTTTCGAAGACATTTACCCCTATCCAATTGCAACAAAGATAGGCTGAAATATGTGATGTATCAATTCTATACCTTGGTCTAGAAAATTCTTTAACAATATTAAACTCTCAAAGAAAGAAAAAAAAAAAAAACATTTCGCTTCTACTTGGAATTTTAAAGATTGCACTATTTACTTTAACCCCTAAAAATGTTCAACAATAATGAAGAAGCAAAGTCTGCTTCCTCCATGTATGTTACCTTTCCTATAAATTAAGCATTCCAAAGAGTTAATTAATTTTCAAGTGATATGACAGTTATCAAGTGAAACTTGAACTCCCAAGAAGTGTTTGGAGATAAATAAAATAGACGAGTCTGTAAAATGTGTGTAGTCAATTTGCTATACAGGAGATAAATCTTGGAATAATTTTTTAGCTCACACTTCAATATGAAATACAGCTTATAAGAAAAACAAATTCACAGAGGGAGTTTTCCTGAACATCTTCAATGTTCTGTGAAAGGTTAAAAAAGGAAATAACTAATAATACCCCAAAACTTTAAGACCAGAGCCATTCCACTAATCCAAAGAACAGTGAAAATTTGACTTATTAATGGAAATAACTTGACAACAGACTAGAGTTACAGTTGCATACTAATGACTTTTGAAGGTGATGAAATTTGACACCCTTCAGCAAAGCTTCATCCTTGGCATGTCACTAACTTGCCTGTGTCTGTGCTCCTTGAGCAGTCGGAGAAGCTTGCTGCTGCAGCTGTTGCTGCCTGCACGCAGCCTCTCGCTTGCGCCTCATCTGTGTTCGCCTCTGAAGAAGATTCTCTTTCCAAGCTTCCCACTTGGCTTCGTACTCCCTGTATTGAACCTAGCAAAAATTGATTATTCCTTTTCAGAACTGCCACATTAAAGCCCAGAAAGTCAGCAATCGAAGAAGATTAGAAGGGCAAAGGCAAAGAAAGACGAAAAAAAGAGAGAGAATGTGAGAGAGAGAGAGAGAGAGGGAATAGAGGGAGAGAGAGAGTAAATACCTTAAAAATCAAGACACTACAGGAAAAGAAAATACTCTCAAATGATCCATAAAAAACAAAATACATATTTAAATATCACCCTTATAATCAACAAATTATCATTTTGATTTATCTGTTAACATTTCGATTTATTTTTATTTAAGACAGGATTGGAACACAAGATACTATAACAAAGTAATGCTGAAAGTTATAGCTCAAAGAAATGAAGACAAAGTTTTGTGGCCATGAATATGTCAAAAATTATTTTGATATTATTGCCAATATTTGGTTGTTAACTAAAAAAGAAATCATATTAGATGAATATTTATTCATATGACTATCATGTGTTCATGGATTGAAGAACATTTTGCCATTTTCATTTTGTAGACAGATGAAAACAGTAAATCCACCTCTTTTACATTTTTCAAGGGTCCGAGGAAAAACTGTGTAAATTACAGGAAAGTGGCGGGAAATAACTTTTGTGTATAAAATAAAATACAGGAAATTGCTATTATTCATAAGCATAAAGAACGAATCTTTAAAAATCATTGGGCTCAGGCCTTCTCTTCAAATTACAGTAATTCTACTGTTTTCTATTTTTCTCCTAGAATACAAAGACACTGAAACCATGTTATCATCAAAAACATACCCAAAAGACACACATTTTACTGAATCTACAAAGAGAAAAGAAAGAAAGGAAAATGCTTGTCATTAGACTTTCTCCCTTATTAGAAACCAGAATAGCAAAATTTGAAAGTGTGTATTTAGTCGCGAAATACCAGCAAATGTTGTGTGTATGCATTGGCAAAACATTTCTAAAAGATATGCAACCTGCAACACATTCATAATTTTCCGATAATTTCAAAAATAGAATTTAAAGCAATAACAACTAGCCCCAAATAATATTGGGTATTTTTCCATCACAATGAAGTATTTCAAGGGCTTAGTGAGAATAAACATACAAGATTACATACGACATACAAGATATACATACAAGTATTCATACTTGCTTTTGCAGTCAAGAGGTAAAGGTGTAAAAAACAAAAATTTTGATTCAAAAGTGTAAAAGAGGGGACAATTTTACGTCATGAACATAGGGGAATTGAAGACTCCAGCAAAAATCGGAAGAAGTGATGGGGAAACATTAATTCTGGGAACATAAAAGCGGAGTTTTATTGTTTGATGTGACGTGCAAGGAGTACAACTGATTTTTACATGTTGTCACAAACCTTCAAATACCATGTAAGTTCCTTATTCCTTAAATTTTGTATTAGATTTCAAATATCTGAGAAAAAAATCAGAGAAATGTGAATAAAAATAACCTAAAAGACAATCCACCACTTCTGCAAGAAAAATTAAGGAAATTATGTTCAAAAGTGTATAATTAGATGAGATCAGAGAACTTCAAAGTCTAATCCTTATAAAGAACTTGTAATAATTATATCATTGTAAAGATGTGATAGTAATAGTAATAATGATAATGATAATAATAATTATAATAATAATAACAACAACAACAATTTCAGTATCTGTTACTTTTCTTCACTCCTGTAAAATTGCTTTGCAATTATGTGCTTTGTAAAGAAGCATATCTATTCACACTTAATTGTTTCTGCATCTTACTGAATACAACATTAACTTATCATGAATCATAGTATGCTTTGATTAAAACATGAAGTCCTTTCAAGGTCACGAACTGAAAGGAGAGAAGGGGGACAAGGTCATAATATCGGGAGCTTCAAACCCAAAAATTGAAGGCTCAACAAAGTTTGCAATTTGATGCAATGTTCCTTCTCATGATGGCCCGTGACTTTCAGAGGACGTCTTCCTTTAATCGGAGTATACTTCACTATGTTTTACCTTGTCAGGATGATTGATATTTTGCTCTTTCCATTTGGCAAACTGCTCCTCCCAATGCTTAAACTGAATGTCAAAAGTCTTCTCTGCTGCCAACAGCTCATCAGGATTGTCCTGCATTGGTTGTTCCTTATGATTCATTCGTATAATTTTAGAAAATATCAAATGAGCATTCACTCATGTACATGAAGCAAAACATACACAACAGGCACATCACAAAAAATGTCTTACAGAAGGAAAATTAATAAGAATATTTAACTTTTTGTTAAAGCATTCAACAATTGAAGACCTTAGTGATAGAAGCAAATCATAACCAAAAGTACATTTTCAAGAAAAATATTATACATTACTTTAAAAATTAAATGCATCGCATTTTCTTGTGTGAAGTGGATGGGGACATTGTAAACATTTCCTTGAATTTTAAATGCTATGGCTTCAGTAGAAATAGGTAATAATCACAATAATACAATGTTTGCTGATAGATGAGAGGATAGGCTTTGTGAACATGCAAAAATTTCATTTTCGCAGAGTGATAATTATCTGGTTCTTGCACTCGGGTCATTAATTGTATTAAAGTTCATAAAAACTTACATTTTAATTAATTGTAATAACTGGAATTATTATAATACATTGCTCAGGTATTCTTCAGGAATGGTTTGCCAAAATTTTTCGCCATATTTTTTAATACTTCCCAGTAATCAGGGTTTGGCTCATCTTAACGGAATTTTTCAATTCAATACTTTCTGAACATTTATGAATATTTTTACAAATTTAAATAGAATTTTTCCAAAATAATTTCATAAAAATATTCATATTCATAAAAATGTATATAAAATTAAAAATGGGCAATTCTGAAACAATGTATGCTGCAATCAGTGCCACACTCCAGAATTTTGGTAGTGCTGTTTTATTAACCTTCCCCCATGTATTAGATAATTTGTATAATATTTATTTTGGTCCTTAAAATTAATTAACATTAAATAATGCAGTGAAACCTGACAAAAGTTAGTCATTAATGGTTCAAGCAACAATTGGCTATTAGAACAGGCGGCAACTTAATGAAGATTATTAGAGAGGATATGAAATCAACATTTATTTGCAATGAAGAAAAAAACTGTTCTACTTGCAAACTTGTTTTTAATTACACTACACTATAAAATACCAAAAGACTTTTCCACATCTGCATGCATTCCCCCTTGACTTTCAAACATTAACTTCCTCATAACTCTTTTCCTTTCTCAAAAATCTCTTCCTTTTTGGAAATTTTCTTTCTCAAAAATATTTACTTTTCGTTCCTTTAATTTTTTTTCTAATTTTTTTAGACAGTTATTTTCCAAACTAGCATATTAGGTTGGTGTCTGATGGTCATGTGGAAAAGCTCTTGATTAGGGTTTTTGGTAGTTTAATTATAATGAACATGGATCTGACATAATGGACATCAAACAGAAGATTATTTCTCTGACAAGTATTCAGTGGTCTCAGCAATCTAACAAAAACCTTTTCAGATGTTAATATTAGTCAAAACTTTTGACAAGTATTCTCACTGAGACCACTCACTTGCTTTCCAGAATCGCATTACTCTTCTCTGCCAATGTCAAACACATTGGATTTTATGGTCATTGTTTTACTAGTCTCTCATTTTCTTTCTTACTAAACCGATCTCACAAGTAAAATATCCTGAATGTGCAATACACATCCTCAATAAATTTACGAGCATGCAAGAAAAGCATATGTAGTAATCTGAAACAAATTAATTGCCCTGCAAGATACCTCTACTCTTAGCAATATGATGTATTCAGATGTACAACATTACCAAATCTACACAAATCAGCCTGGATCATCCTATGTTTATTGCATTACAGCTCCTCAAAAGAGGAAGATATGATCATCTAATGCATGTTATCTACAAACTGAGCTTGCCCACTGATCACAGGACCAGGTGGCCAATATACTTCGATTTAAACATGCGTGAAGTGACGTTTGATCAGCTAGGATGTTGTTATCCAATAAGGTGTTTCATTATGACTTCATTTTTGAAATTGAAACTCCTGAATTGGTAACTGCATCCCAGCTGATCAAACATCAATCACATCAATTAAATTTTGCCTATGTTTAAATTGGACAATCAAGGGAATATGTCCAAGTGACTTTTTAAAAATGGCTGCTAAATCAATTCAGCAGATTACACTGCACTCAAAAATTGAAAATCTTACTGTATTCCTCCAATTAGGTATGGCTTTACCTTTGAAGCAGTAGCAGCAGCAGCAGCAGCAGTAGCAGCAGCAGCAGCAGGACCCTGGTCTCCTTTCTCTTGACTGCCGGGCCAACTGGACGAGTCATTCCGACCACTGCTGCGCTGGTTACTTGATCCACGTGATTTTTCCTCACGATGTCCAGACTGAAAATTACTGTTTCGTGTGCGATCTCCAGTAGAATAATCACCACCTCGGGCCTTCTTGGTTGGCTCATTACCAAAGGAATCACTTCCTCCCTAAAATCAACAAACCATGCATTGAGTGTTAATTTAAAAGGGATTGAAACAAAATACAAGTTTTCATTGTCTTAAAGCTTGAAGCAAGGCATAATCTACAGTCTTAGTAACAACTTGGTACATCATTCCATGCACACATTACAGTAAACTCTTTGACAGCATGAGACATATCAATTACATTAACTCAAATGAAAGATTCCAGGTTTCTTCAGGTCTTAAAAATTAAAGGCTTTATCAAGATTCACTAGCCATCCTAAGTCATTTAAGAGCTATTGGTATGATGTTCCAAGAGTATGTACTAAATATTCTCGTAAGAGTACAAAGTATTATTCAATATATTGTTATAATAACCCTATGCAAATTACTCTGAAAGCTTTTCTGTCTCGTCTGAATGTTTTTTAGTTTATTTAACTACCCTTCTGCTTACATCAAACAGAAGTCAAATCAAAATGCCCATGACAATATGAAACATACCTGGAATCCTGATTCTTGGTCATAAGGCCTTTTGCCAGAGCCAGGACCAGTTGTTGATGCATATCCCTTGTTGCTGTAGTCATCAGGGGGCTTACTGGAGGGCGGTGGAGGCACGCCAGTTGGTGGAGGTGGAATACTTGTGGGAGGAGGAGGTGCCTGCTGAGTCGGTGGAGGCGCAGGTGGTGGTAGCTGGCTTGTTGGCCCTGGTGGTGGGGGAGGATGGCTAGGAGGGGGAGGTACTGAAGGAGGTGGCACAGTGAACGGCATACCGGACATGAAAGAGGAATATGCAGACTGTTCAGTAGAATCGTGAGGCTTCCCAGGCATCGTACTGCAAAGAAGCACAATAGTCCACATCACTCATGCTCACAGGCTTCTGTCAGAATACTGGAAGAATAAATGCTTTGTGTTACTATGATATTTTGAAACTGACATAGGAAGATAAGCTTGATGCACTGATACTACCCACTCTGGAGGAAGGATGTGTCTTACTGAATCAAACAATTCTTACAAACAAGTATAAGAGACCTGAAATGATAGATATATTTGCCAGAAATAAAATGTTCCCTTGAGAGAACATCAGTAAAAATTAAAAACAGATCTAATTCAATATAAATCTAAATAAACCTTTTCCCCAGTACACTCAACTGTGTATACTTAAACAATTAACTATAAAACAATCATTGAGCCATTTAAAAATCTAGTGCTACTAAGAAGAAGAAGAAGTGTAAGAAAGAGAAGAACATGGCAGAGCCGGAAATCAAGCGTCTTACACATGTACACTGATGGAAACCATCCACATGCAAATAACATCATTCCACATTGAAATGTTAGTAATTTGAACAGTACTTGCCAATAATTTTCAAGACTCGACAAAAGTGTCTTTTAAACATGTTTTCTTTTGAATAGTTTTTAAAAATGTACATAAATAAATTTAATAGCATTTTGCATTAAGTATAAAACATGCCCAAAATGAACAAATATTTTTAACGCTAAAGAAATAAATGGTTACAGAAAGGATTGTAAAACTTCGATCTTACAATGCCCGATTTGTTTTCCCGGCATTTACACCATAAATGAGTAGTCCCAACAAAATATCTGTACAAGTAATGTACAATTTTTCTCGATATTACATTTTCCTCAATTTTGCATCTGACGCATGATGCCCTACTATGTAGTAAAACACTAGTATTAATATTTTTGTAAAGGAGGACTCTTAATTTAGATGGACATTGTGAACGAAAAGGTGCACTGACAGTTTTGGGGAGGGTGGTGGGGATACACAGAAATATTTCACGTATTGCTATTCGCAGTTGGTGGAGAAAGGGACACTGTCATCTATTCAGAAGCTACGTTACAACTTAAATTTTTGGTATTGGAGCTTCTGATTGGATGACAATATCTCCCTCTCTTCTAGCTTGTGACCCCTAAGTGCCACTACGTTTAAATCCAGTTTAAAAATCTGGGTATATAGTAAATGTTCTAAATTGGCTAAGTAACTTTCCGATAATATCAGTCCACGTTTCGTTTTGAGTGTGTTTGTTGAGTTACTTTGTTGCCAGTGATAAGTCAGTTGCTGCTTGCTTCTGTGCTGTTTTTGCATGTGTTACACGAAAAAATGTTTTTGCACATGGAGAAAAAACTAATCATTGTCACTCAGAGAGAAAATTTGTATTTTAGAAGACAAGTTGATGATGTCGGAAAGTGAATAGACCTTGCTGCCAAAATGGGTTTCAGTGTGTTCACTTACAATTCAATAGTGAAACAGCGAAAGCAAATTCAAAAGTGTTATGCAAGATGCTGTTTCAAACCCATTAAAATCACTGAAAATATCTTTGATAGAAGAATAGAAAATTATCCTAGTGAGTTGGGTTAAGTAAGCAAGAACATCAAATTTAGCCATTGATGGATCTCATCTAAAAGAAAAAGCACTACATCTAGCAGAACGTCTATGGAAGGATATGGAAGCACTAAATCAAAACAAACAATCACTGTGCTACTGGCTTGTAATGCCAATGGAAGCAAAAAATTGTGTCCTGTTCTTATTGAGTCATTAAGTTTGAGAACCCCCCCAAGTTTTAAAACATTAAAACTCTTCGAACAAAATACACCACAAACCAATGAGCCTGAATGACTGGAAGGCTTTTTGAAGACTTTCTCATACAATTTGCAAAGTGGGGAGCCAAGAACCACAAAATTGTCCTCTTCATTGATCAGTGTGTCGTTCATTCAAAAGAAACAAGTGGGCTGCGAAATATAAAAGTTACATTTTTGCCACCAAACTACTAGTCAACTACTGCCAGAAAGGAAGCAGTTAATAAGAAAAACTGCTCCAATGCTAGCTGCTTGAGGGATGCTTCAAAAATGAAATTAAACATCCTTCAAGCATTGCCTTTTGTTACTAATCCTGGAGACAAACATCTGAAACAACACAGAATTATTTTAAAAAATGCGGGTATCACATTGAAAGTGAAATCGGAAAGTTCTTTCAATGATAAAACATGATACAAAAAACAAGACTGGCAAGTAATTGTGGCCAATGATTTAACAACTTGTGAGATTCAGTCTGTTGACCAGATATTAGAAGATCAAGTTTCGACTGCTAAAGGGAAGGAAACATTTGAAGTTGCTGATGAAGAGGAAGAAGAGGAGGAAATGTCACCATCATGCAAGTTCTTAGAGGACTTGATACTACTCGCATATATTTTAAGCAATTTAATGTGGAAGAAAGTGTTGGTTTTATGTAATGTTATACAAAACACACTTTACATAGTAAAACAGCTTCAAAACAAAAGCAAAGGTCAATTTTAGACCGGGCGAAGAAGGGATCGTGGGCAGTTTAATATAGATTCATTTTCTAAGGAACATTTTTCTTTAATTGAAGTTTTAATGTATTATTTATTATTTTTAGAATTACATGTTTTAGAACAAAATTCGCACACAAAAAATTATTTCTTTGGTTTAACAATTTCTCGATTTTCAACTTTTTTTCACCAGTCCCTCACAAAGAGAGTAAAATAGGGGTTTCACTATACCTTCTTCGTTGATGGGTCCTGAATCAACAAAAGCAAACATTGATGAAACCACCTTCATAGGGACCTTTTGCATGGCATAGCATACAGTTAATAACCACACTCTTGATCTACAGCGCATGCTGAGATGCACTAAAGAAATGCAAAACTAGAACTGCACATGCCCAGAAGATCAATAGTGCTGTTAATTGTTGTAGCACTTTCATGTAAACCCCCTAATACGTAAACACGCTTTCTACCACTGATATTAAAAAATAAATATTGTTATTCCAGTTTAGTAAGATCTTTCCTCTACCTATATGAAGAATGTGCTGAATAGTAATCTGTGGTGCTTTTTTCTTCCGGTGGTGGGGGCGGCACAGTACTTTTGGGATCCGGTGGAGGCAGAGGTGGAGGCTGGCCTAAATCAGGTCCCACTGGTGGGGGTGCTGGCACAGCTCCTGCAGTGGTTGCTGTTGCACCAGTGGCAGCCATCATGGCATTCATACTCTCCTGGTACTGAAACATTCAAGAATCTTCAATAACCCACAATCGTGTCAAATGTCCATAACAGAATTTAAGGAGCAAACATTCAAAATGTGACACTATTTTCCAATAAAAATGTACAAAATGGCACAAAGTTTACACTTTTCAACACTGTCTTTAACTCAACGAATAGAGTACTAGTACATGTATTGTAAGGCATCTCATTTTTTTTTTCTGGAAATAAAATTCTAGGTAAAAAGACAAATAAATATAAAATATATAAAAAAGACAGAAAAACTCAATTTTTGCTAAATGGAAATGTCACCTTTTGAATGTTTGCTCCTCCTTTTGAATGGTTTCAAAGTTATTCTAGGTCAATTTATCATGTTCTAATGTTTTATTTCTCGGATATGATGAAGGGGGGATGTCAACGATTTTGCATAACTAATTAAAAATACTTTTTTTCTCAAACTGTTTGCATTAAAATTTTGAAATTTTGCACACTCTTGTTAGACAAGTAAATGTGCATGTAAAAATATTCTAATCACCCTAATGAATATTTAGCAAACTATTATGAACAACAAAGTTTTATTACAATTTTTTGCATGAAATACATAATTAATGTGCTCCACATCCATAACGTAGGTTCTATGTAGTGAGGTGACCATATCGCTTCTTATTGTATTAAAGGCTTTATGTAGTGTAAATATAGCCTTTTTTGCAATGTTACTCACATGGTTTTCCCATTTGAGCTTGTTAGTGATCATAATTCGTAGATCCTTCATGAACTTGATTTCAGTCAAGTTCCTTCTGCCTATTTGGTAATTTCGCTTTGGATTAGATCTTCCAATATGCACAACTATATTTGCACTTATTTTTGCAACTATATTTGCCAATATGCACAACATCCATAAAACGTTTCATTCTTCTTCTTCTTTGTTCAAGGCCCTCTCGACAACAACTAAATTCTGTTTTGCAGGTAAGAAGAGAGCTAAGACCCTCCGGTTGCCTAGGGCCATGTCGTCTCTGGGTACACCATTAGGGCAGTTCGAACGGGAAAGTAGATGTTCCATCGTCTCTTCAGCACCGCAGGAGCACATCACTGAGTCATTCTGGGCCAAGAATCCCCATTTTTGCATGTTGTATTTGCATCTACCAAAACCCGTACGCAATCTGTTTAGAGATCTACATTTGGTCTATGGTTGTTCGGAACCCCACGGCAAGGACTGAGGGTTTCAAGAGGTGGCCTAATAGGTGGCATTCGTTCTCCACAGGTCAAGCCTTTCCTGCTTGGCTGGTTTCTGGAGAGGGGCACTGGTCTGAAGGAAACTATTGCGGGAACAGAGTCTTCGGTGGGCAGGAGTTTAACCATGCAGAGGGTGGTGTTTGTCTTTCTCCTATTGACTTCTTTCCACTTTGCAGGAAATTTTCTGGCGGATTTTTGGAGAGGCGATGGCCAAATGGAAACCGGATGAATTTTCCTCAGGCAAGTTCATGTCAAAATTACTGTCCACACTAAGTTTCGCCGACGCACGAGATAAAAGTCGTGATTCTTCTAATTCATCACTTTCTTTTTTCATGACCAACTTGTTGAATGTCACAGAATTATCACTTTTTGAATGCAGGTTTTGTTCAACCCATATTTCAGTACGAAGAAAAATACAATTGCACGGTTTCAATAAAATAGCTTCACAGAACACAACATGTCAATACAACGTGGAAAACAACAAACACCTCACGGCCAACTCGCAGCAGCTCTTCTGTTTCTTGTTTACAGTTCTTTTGAATGCCTGCAGAGTGCTGCCATCTAGGGAGTTTATAAACTATGAGAATATAGTCGTTCAAACCTTGCGAGTATGAGAAATTTAGCAGGAATATTACTTGCCGTATAACATTACAAATAACGAGAGAAGTAAATGCAGTTCAGAAGAGGGCATGGCACTAATGTCTAGGCCTCACCGCCTGAAAGATTTTTTAAATTTTAAATGACTTAGCAACATCAGATCGATTTTAAATGTTGCAGAAATGTACTAACGTATTAACGAAACAAACGAAAAATGATGAAACAAAAAAATCGATTTTTTGACAGAATTCAATGACATCCGCCCTATAATTTCTGTTAAGAATATAATTCAGCTAGTTGTTTTTACTACATCAGAACTACATTGGAATCGCTACTATGAATTAAACCTGGATTCACATTCACAAAAGCAAACAAGCATTAATTGAAAAGAAAACAAGAAAACAAAACAGACAGAGATATAAACCTACACATATGACTTTTGTTATAGCACAAATGCGCAACTGTAGTTAAAAAAATTAGCCTTTAAAAGCAATTGAGACCTTAAATGTTCCTCCCTAAGATAGGGTATAAGAAAAATGGACACTTCATTAATTTGAAATTTTCTTCCCACTGCATTACAGTTCGGTGTCTCAAAAGTGCAAAGAGATCATAATTATTTAGTATATTTCATATATTTATTTACATTTGAGTGTAAATACAGCCTTTGACTATAATCATTTGCAAGCAAAAAGAAAATTGGATGTTGCTTACTTTGTCCCCATACTGTTGCTGCCACTGTTGAAACTGTTGTTGCCATTGTTGCCATTGCTGCCACTGTTGCTGCTGTAAAGCAGACCATCCTGAGAAGTCCTACAAAAGCACAGTACACTACCCTCAAAACACAAGAAAGTTTTCTCTTGTGTTCCAATGAAAGTGGCACAGCCAGGATTTTTTTTCCCTTACATTTTTTCTTCTCTTTCTTTTGTAGGGGTTGGGGGAGAGGGGAGTGACCAGCTGATGATGTTTTCTTACAAAGGATTTTTCATTTATGCTGAATTTAAAATTTAGTTATAAATAACTGTATGAACTATTTATATAACAAACAAACTTACTATTAACTCATTCAACTGAGATATAGAACGAGTTTCGACACTGAAAAACTAGTAGAGACTATTTTTGTATGTGATGGTTTTATCAGCTCAGGGAGGGGAGAGGAGGGGAGTGGAGTGAAGTTCCGTAAGTACCTTCACTTCTCACTTGGATGTGCCACTGAACAATATATAAATAAATATTTGCTATGTGAACATACAGATAAAAGCATAATCTCAACGAACTCAGTAGGTTTCACTGCTTTAGTTAGATAGTTTTAATCAGTGATCTAAAAGTGAAGCCTAAATTATTATACAATTGTTTAATAATAATAACAATAATAATAATAATAATAATATACAAGAGAATAATTTCTTGGTCTTGACCAGCATGTATTTACAATTTAAGCAAATATATACGCATACGCATAAGCAAATATTTACAATTTAAATGGATTCAATTTCATAGTCAATGAAATTCGGACATCAAGAAGTTCTGGCCTAATTCGTAAGTTTATGCAATTGTTAACCCTTAGAACTGAAGGATGCAATTACTGTTGGCCTATTTTAATTTACAAGGTCAGTTCAAAAAGTTTTGGTACTAATTTTGCACAAAACCTACAATGAGCACCATTTATTATCTAAAGACGGAACTATGTAGTATCAACCCTTAGTTACCCACAAGAGAGATTTCAGTGCTTTAAATGTATCAAGTAGCAGACTGTTTGTTTGTAGTAGTTGATGTGTGTTTTACGAAGTATGTTTTATGATGTGTGTTTTATGAAGTAAATGATGTGTGAAGTAGATGATGTGTGAAGTAGATGATGTGTGAAGTAGATGATGTGTGAAGTAGATGATGTGTGAAGTAGTTGATGTGATTTACGTAATGGAACAGCATATGATGATCCAGTTTTGTTTCAAATTGAGAAAGAGTGCTTCGGTAACTTTTAAAATATTAAAATCCACATAAGGCAATGATTGCTTAAGCCAAAGCATGATTTTTGAGTGGTATGCGCGGTTCAAGAAAGGTCGACAGTTGCGAGAAGACTGTGCATAAGAGGGAAGCATTTCAACCTCAACAACCCATGCCAATGTCAAATGTGTGCGCTTGGAAGTGTGTTGTAATCCACAAATTACAGTTGCAAACAGTGAATGCAGCATTTTACAAAGATGTTCTAGACTGACTTTTCAAGAGGATACATGTGCAACTAGAATTGTTCTGTACATGTGACTGGTTTCTTTTGCATGACAAGGTGCCCGCCCGTTCTTCGATACTTATCACACAATTTTTGGCCAGTCAGTAACCACAATTCACCAGCCATTCTATTCAACAGATTTAGATAGGGGAGACGTTTTTCTATTTCCCAAATTGAAAATCACAATGAAAGGATTAAGTTTTGAAGATGTTGAGGTGAATAAAATGAATAGACCCTATTTCTGAAAGCACTCCCAGAAGAGGAATTGTCCAGGTGGTTGTACAAGCATAGCAAAATTTGTTTACAAGGAGGGGATTATATAGAAAAATAAATACAAACTTTTTCTATACAATTTCTTCCCTAAAAAAATACATAAATAAATATAAAATAAAAAATGGTACCAGAGCTTTTAGAATGGTCTGTGTATAGTGATGCAGAAATACAACACAAATTCATTTTTATTCAAAGAAATCAAAATCTAACATATATTTTGCGAAATTCTTAAAATTGTAATGTCACTAAAGCTTAATTTGAAGCAACACTTCTATTACAAAAAACGTACTTCACTTTTCAGACCGTTTCAAATATATTTCAACCCCAGTGACTCACAGTAAACCTGCATGCATTTTGAAGTAAACCAGCAGTGGTCTGATTCTAGGAGAAAGGCCATTTTGTTATTGACCACAAAGTTGGTCAAATCCATAACATTTTGATGTCTTTTGCAAACCCCTGCACCGAAGTTAGATACCCTAGACTCGAGTCTACTGGGTTCGTTTAAGTTCCCAACCTCAGTTCATCAAAAACATTTCACGAGCAAAATATACTTACAGATGTTGCACCAGGAAGTGGTGGTGCTGTACTGTAGTATTGGTGATACCCCAGGGAGTAGGCTGTATTTGGTGCAACAGTGGGTGGCGCAGCTGGCGCAGTTGATGGAGGCGGTGGTGCAGTGTAACCCTGGTAACCTGCTGCAGCCGCTGCTGCAGCCGCCGCCGCCGGTGCACCCCATTGATTCCAAGCCTGCATGGTGCAGAGCTTGCTCCCTTAACTGGAGCACCCTACAAGCACAGAATGCAAATCTTGTCACAACTGCCATACGCATAAGTCAACACAAATTGGATCTTATACATAGGCTGCATTGTAAATTTTCATTTTTTAGGCAGTATACTGGCTACATAGCTACAATATCCATGATTCCTTGAATCCTTTTTCATGTTATTTGAATGCAAATCATGTGTGAAAATTCAACATACACCTACAACAGACAGTACAAAACCATATGAAGAACTGTAAATTCAATTATTTTCATTTTGCTCAGAAAATTTTATTTGCCTACTCCTTGCTCTTTAAATTGAATATGTGAAAAATGATGTTACTACTTATAGTAAAATGACGGTTTTGTTTTTTCAGAGTAATAATGAACCCTATGGAATTGCATACAACAAAACATCACAATATTTTTTTCTCCCACTGAACTACTTTAACCATTTGCAGACAAAAGGGAAAATAATATCTGATAGGATTTTTATGACCAAAAAGTAATTGTGTGTGCCTAATAGAATATCTATGGACTTTTACATCAAATTTTAAGAATCAAGAAACAACCCTGTTGATCCCATTTAGTAATGCACAAAAATGGATCGAGGCATTTATATTTATAAACAGCATTTGTTTCGCAGACAAGGTGAAAATAAATTAAAGAAATAAAAATACCTCTACTCAAAAAGAACGCTTGCTCTTTAAAGGAGTGTCTTATTTGTATCAATCACGGAAACCAAAGAAAATAATGATGATGATGATGATAATAATAATAACAATAATAATAATAAATTGACTAGTTTGGACTGCAATTGTTAATTTCACTTCAATGTCCACCACCACCACATACATCTAAAAGGAATTCTCAAAATTCACCAACAAAAAATATATAACTTAACCCTCTTTAATACACATCTCCATCAAAATGATAATCAATTGATCATTATCAACACCATTTTGTTTTAAAAAATAGTTTTTAATTCACACAAAGAGGTCATAATCAAATTAGTCAAAAATCAAACAAGATTATATGAATACAAGTATAAAAATAAGGAAAAAAGCAATAAAAAATAACAAGTACAATGCAGTTGTTATAAATATTAAATTAATCAAATGAAGTTGAAAAACTTCTTTCAATACAAATGTTATGTGTTTAAACAATTTCATTTGTTCACATAACCTACTTTGCATAAATTGTTTCCATATATGATTATCCAATACAAAATTGTTGAGACAGAGCAGTAGAAGTGAAGTCTAAACTCAAATTCACAATGAATATGCATTTTTAAGACTTGTATTCTTAAGATTCAATTTTAAAGAAACAATTGTTGAAACTAATATTTATTTGAATATAACTGATAGTAATGATACATATTTAAAATTAATTTTTTTTCCACACTATATACACACATTTTAATGACTGCAATGAACTACAGCAAAACAATCTGAAATGATTAAGAGCAATAAGATCAGTAATTACTTATAAAGCAGAATTCAATCGAAATGTATGTTTTTCAGGAAAAGTACAAAAACTTAATTGCCAATTTTATTTCCATAAAGGAAAATTTAATTGCTAAACAAATTGCAACAGAACTGGCAGACGACAGTACACAAGATTGTCATATCAACACATTATATATGGTTTAATCCATTTGTTGCATATAACTTAAAATTTCCTAAGAGAGTATTCAGAAAGTGTATTCATAACATTTTTAAGAGAGGCAGCATTTCCTGAAAGAAATTTGAATCAGAACGCCTTTTGTGAACAAAATCGCATTTCTTCTTCACTTCCTCATAGCCAAACTCAATTTGAAATATTTTCTCAACAAGATCTACAACACAAAAGAGTGGCCAGACTGCATTGGAAAGTACTCGAGCGTGAATTTGTAATTCATTCTACAGTTGTAAGTTGTAAGTTGGAGAGTTTTAAGAGTGAAATGATGCAATAGCACATTCATTCATTCATTCATTCATTTTTTGTGAAAATTGCAGAATAATCTAATTATATTCCAGTGAAGTTTTATCTATTAAGAAAATATACAAAGGTGTTCAGAAAGCCTATTTTAATACAACAAGTATTATTAATATATAATTAGAACAAATATATATGTATATAACATTCATGTTCCAATTCCTAGTTTCACTTAATTCTATTACAAGGTTAAAAAAATGTAGCAGCGAAATATCTACTAAAAAGCTTGTTGTGCAAAATACACTTCAAAATTATAAAGTGTAATAATTTCTCCCTATAAATTCTTGTGAAAATTCCAAATGTAAATGTGTTGAGACCAACACGCTACATTGAAAATTATTTTATATGTTACTATATTTTAAAGATAATACTGAATAAGATAATGCAAATAGATAAAGAAAAAATGTTATATAACAATTTTATGAATAACAAACTAAATTGAAATAAACTGAAAATTGATTTTTTTCTAGTTATATTCAATAGACTATTCTTTACTGATGATTTAATTTCTTATTTGAAGCACATATGAACAAGCTACTAATTCATTATCCAAATTGAAATATTTTTGTTTCTTTACCCATTCAGTTTCAAAACAATGTCCTTCAAATTGGTTCAAATCATTGATTCCCAAAGAATTACTGAACAAAGATTAACTAAAAAAAAAAATACGAAATCAAAGTGAAGCATGTGAAGTTTATTAATACAAAGTCATTGGGAATATACAAAATTTATTTTTATGTGATTCAGAAGCAAAACAAAAAATACTTGAAAAATATGAAAGACAGCAAAAGAATTAAAGGAAACCGTAAATTTCTTGACAGAAGCTTTCAACAATTTCTGTAATCTACATACTTTTCCAAAATATTTGCTACCTGCTACAAATTCATTCACGTATTTAACAAATTGGTAACGTAAAATCTTCAATTAACCTTTCCAGCTGTATGAGGTTACTATGTTTAAAAGAGTTGGCTTTACTTTAATTTAACATAAGGTTTTAGTAGAAAAGTGAAATCAATTCCATACAAGTTTTAGGTAGACATGTTGTTTGGATCTCAGTTCGGCTCTAGGCTCTGAGAATGCCAGGGCCTTTGGAGTTTTAAATTACCATTCATCACTCCTGCATCACCATCAAAACGCACTTCTCTCTGCTAATGCATATACGCAATATATATGCTAATAATTTATATATTGCAGTAAATATTCAAATACATACTTGTAAATCTTCCACAATTTCTGCTGATGAACTCCACAATTCCGCATTTTAACTTTTTCGATATTTTACAAACATAATGCAGCACCAAAAATCAGCATGTTACTATGGGGAGGGGGGCCAAAGAATGAAACTATTCATACTAAACCGTTCAAGCAATTTGCTTCAAAATTGATATTCCTTTGCTTCAAAATTGAATGCAAGAAAGTAAGTCAAGTAGAACTAGATTAAAATTGACACACAGAAAATGCAAATTTCATATAAATCATAATATTAACAAACTGATGTCATCTCTTTCTGCCACAGCTACCTCTTCAAAAAAATTATAGAAAATGCGTCATATAATAAAATAAAACTGGAATAGAAAAATTGTGTCCGATTTGCATGTTTGTAAGTAAATCCTGAATTGAGGAAATCACTTTTCGAATAATTTTCTCTCATTGAATCTAAAGGACCTGCATTGAGGAACTGTATCAATGAATTTTAATCTGTATCTGTAAATGCACTATATCATATTGTGACGAAGACTTTATTGAAACAGACAATTTAAAAAAATTAAACATCTTCCCACAATACTTTGGAGGAACCAGAACCACATTCAGCAGAAACATTAACAATCCGCAATGCAGACACACAACACTAATGTTACTTTTGAAAATCTAAGTTCAATAATATTCAATGTCAACATGATGATAATAGTGGAATAAAAACAGAAGTATTTGTAGCAACTTCAGAGGTTTTATTTATTTATTTTGCATAAAAGCTATAATTCCCTAAAATAAAACATATATAATCTAAACAAATTGGAACAGATTAAAAAACCTAAATTTAAAACTTTTTGAAACTAAATATCCAATATTCAATCTCATAATGAAAATCACTTTGTTTAGAAATATCAGAAAAATGTTTGTGTACTTTTGTCATGTATGAAATTACTTGACTTGAAACTCTGTAACATACGGAAGTTGTAAGACTGAGTGGTGAGACAATCTAAGCAATCAGTGCTTCAAACAACAATTCAGATGATACTGAAATGACATGCAGAAGATACTGAGCAATTCCTCTTCCCTTTTTTTCAATTTTATTTTCAAGAAATTTTTCATAGATATATTCGCAGGCTGATTCGTATGCAACTCTTGACCAATTTATTTCCTTACCTCTAACATGCCTACTAGATAAATATAGAACCAGTGTTCTATAATATGCTACGAATAGAGAGTGGTTTTATGGCAATTTATATGAAACTACCAACACAAAACAATGTGTCTTACACTGGGTAGGGAATAACTCCCCAGTTCTACATCAACTAGATTTAAGACACAAAAGTAGAAGTTTGCAGATATTCACAAACAAAACAGATTACATCTCATGTTATCACTGCATAAAACTGAAACAATGCAACCTGCGATTTTAACACCAGGTTTGTGGGTTCCTGTAAAGGGACCTCTAAATAGTTCTGTAAAGAGTTCTGCGCAAACACTACTTTTGGGGGGATACGTAAGGGGGGGGGATTCTTAATAATTCTCTCAAACGAGTCCTTTATGAGCTTACTATTATAATTTTAGAGATTGAGTCATCTTGGATGCCCCACTTCAAAACTGAGTGGTCAGAAAAGTTCAGAAATCCAAAACACTAAAATTAAAAGAGAAGTTTGGTATTTATGTAACTCAACCTCAACACTTAGCAACATTAGAAAATGTATATAGTATGGTAATGGTATAAATTATCAAGCCTATAATGCTGTAAAGCACAGTCCAGGAGAGGTCCGTTTGAAGTTGGGTTCCACTATGAAATAATTTTCACTTTTAAAACGGTTATTTACGTGGTGAAGAGTTTTA